GGTTGGAATTCTTCCGGTATGACAGGGGATGTAGGGCCCATGTAGGGCTCAGGTCCGGCTGTGCCAGCCTCGGTTAGCTGCGGTTAGCTCCAAGGCATGGATGGACACACCTTCAACCGCTCTCCAGGGCAGCCTACTCCTCACTCCCTGGCCGAGGGGCGTAAACCACCACAGGCCTCAGTGAGCCAAAAGCGCAGTTTTGAGCTTTGAGGCTGTATTCGTGATCATTCGTTTGAGCCCCTGGAGCCTGTCACGGCTGAAGCCTTGGCATGCCGTTCGGTTCAAACGTGCATGTGTGGCAGCGAACCCAACGAACCCTGGGTGCTTCTATGGCCCGTAGTCACGAATCGCGCGGGCCATGCGGAGAATTGCACCGTCGAGACATGACTTTGGGGATGCTTTACGCCTGCTGCAGACAAAAACTCGGTAAACCAGCACAGTCAGAGGTGGTGAAAGGCCATTGAGGCAACTTGACACAACATCTGAGCGGCGCCAGCTCCATGTCCAGGTCTGCGTCGAAGGCGTCGAAGAGCATGGCTAGGTCGTCAGAGTCGAGTGGATCATCCCAAAGTCCTGGAGGTTTCTTGCATTGCCAGGACTTAACACAACTATTTGGGTCAAGAGGATGGACAAAGCGCTCTTCCAAACCAAGCACAGGTGAAAACCCCCACTCCCCCTAGACCGCAACGACGCGACTCATCGAAACTCCAGCCCTCAAGCCTCAAAACAAGCCGTCCACCTACATAGCAATTCAAGTTCTTATCCCTATACCTCCTCAACCATGAGGCCGCCACAGCTCACAGACCCAGATACCCTCGTTTCAAGCCTCGCCCCGGCGGCTTGAGTATGTCCGGAAGCCATCCTTTTGTGATGGCAGCTGCTTCAGGTTGAGATTGTCTTCGAACAAACTTTTGCATGTACGCATGGGTGCTAACATGAAAAAGTACTGAATCATACATGTAAGCATATGTATAATATGGACAAACCTTTTGACTTTAGGCCAGATGTCCGAGGTTTCAGGACTGCAAGATGTAAATAGAAAAGCTCCGACAAGCCCTGTGCAAGGCACAACATTTTCAAGGGTTGAGCGTTTCAGTTTGCGTTTCCAAGACTGGAGGTTGCTCCATTCCTAGACCTTCCCGCGCCAACCCAGCGTGGATTTTCGAGCAACCGGCCGCAGCCCGCAGCCCTACGCAGAAGCAACCGCTTTGAAGTCCATGAAGCCCAGTATAAAGCCCAGGAGTGCCACCAAGCAGCTTCCAATCTCACCACCGTACTGCTTCACGAAGCCGTATGCCCCTTGCAAAAGAGGCATGCGCCAGATTTCTGAGAGCCTGAAAACTCCTTACTCCACAGCCCCTACCATGCCAAGACTGCGAAAATGGAGCCTTGCAGTTCCAGGAAAGCTTTAGTAACTTTGGTAGGGACATGGGCCCAAGTTAATGTGATTTTTTCTTATGGCCGGTGGTTGACAAGGCACCATCGTCGCCATCGTCGGAGCTCGGAAGCTTGCCCTTCCTGAGGCCAGTGTCAGGAACACGGCTGATACAGGTGTCTGCCACGGGGTTTGGGGGGTTGATTACATATGACCTTGAATCGGGGCCCGACTGAGTCTGTCTGCTCGGTTGGATCACCTAGTAGCTGGAATTGATACAATATCGAACTCCAAGCAGGGGCGACTCATTCCATATCTGTCTAGCCCTATCTGGTGACACGGTCTCCGTCAGGCGATATAAGAACCACATCCTGACAGTTTCATCAACATCATGCCCACACACTGGCACACATCCTTCAGGCCTCGGGAATCACGACATCAGATCGTGGTTGCCAAGCAATCTCTACACGTTACTTTCAGTGGGCCAGTCTTGCTGGATGGACATGGCAGGCCTAGGCTCGGCAAAACAGCGGTCCAATGGCCGCGGAGCCATCTTGTGGCATCTCGCAGCTCAACAAGCAACCTTACCCTTCAGAAGACGCGGCTCCACCACTTGTGTCCGTTGCGCATCTTCCGCATATTCTCAACTGCGGCAGGGGTCCAAATTGGTGGAGGTTAAGCAGCTGCGGCTTGGTGTTCAGGCTTGAGCTTGCTTTTGCCTGGGCTTCCGAGCCTGAGCCGTCTTACTCTCAATCATATAGCACGCGTGCCCGCAATGTGCAGCTGCTTGCAAGTTGACACATGCCGGGGCCTTGCTTATTTGCCTCTTCGAACTTGACCTGCTTGATGTTTGCTGCGGCCTGGCCATGCTCTTAGCGCAGACACAAGAGCAGCAAGCAGCGATTCGCAGCGGGAAGACATGACTGCGAGGATGATGCTTTGCAGGATGAAGGCCTGACAATGATCTTTGCGTAAACTTTCGTAGGCTCACCTCACGAAGAACCCGGCTGGTTTTAGCAGCCCTGAAGGAACACAAATATCCTTTCAATGGAGTGCCGGGAGAGCATCGATCATCTCTTCGATCCTGACCAGACGACGGCCCTCGGAGATTTTCTGCTTGACGATCCTCGGAACTCGGAGCAACTGGCTTCAGTTTGGAGGTCTTGGCTTGGGGTTGAGGCAGCTCTGAGCCTAACCGGCGTAACATAACCACCTGACACGTCAAGCAGCCATGGAGTGGAAACGCACCCCCCTCCCCCAAACCCTGGAAAGCCCCATTCCGAAACTCCTAGGAACCGAAAGCCGTCAAAGAACTACAGCCACCTACATGTGATTCCAAACATACACAAAAAACACAAAGCCTTCCCACAAACCACCTGCAGCCTCGAAACGGCTTCGGCAACTTCTTCGGGCCCCGGAGCAGTTGCTTGACGCGGCGCTCGCGGCAGGCGCGGCGCAGGACCAGGCGGCGGGGCCTCGGCCAAATTGTTGGGCCTTTTTTGGGGCTGGATGGCAACTTGATACACGGCAGCCCATTGGTGGATGCTGGCGCTGGCTCTCTGGGAGCTTTCTCAGTGCGAATGCTCTACTGATTCTATTGTGCCTGATGCCTGCCAGGTCTGGGCTCAAGTTGGCGTAGGTCACTAGATGGCGGCATTTGAGATTTCCTTGTTGCTGCGAATGGCCAAACCCCAAACGGGCAATCCAAGCATGTCTACATGAGTTTGCCAAAATCTTCCAAACAAACCTCTCAAACCCCTCCCAAGCCCAGTTGACAAGGGCTCACAAAACCTGTAGGCAAGTGGCGCGACGAGCGGTTTCGCGTCAGGGCCCACCCAATCACCAGGAAAGGTCTCGAGCAGGAAGGAGCCTGAAGCCACGGCAGCCAGGCAGAGGCCGGCTCGCCTGGCTGCGACTTGGCCATGGAATATAGGGTTTATGAACATAGGGGACCCCAAAAATAGACACCTAATAGTAGGATTCCCTTTTCATCAGGACCCCAAAACTGTCCCCCTAGTTTCGGAAACCCCGATATTGTTTTGTCTTCTGTGACGTCCTTGTGTCCTTCTCTTTGCATAACATGCATGTTTGGGTGACTGCCATGGGCGCAGGGCATAGGTCCATGCTTGGGAGGTGGCCCCTGTACCATGTGCAGGGCCACATGAGAGCAAGATCGCACAAGTAAACCGCAAACAGCAGCCAGCACCCTGACCACCTACTCAGCAAAGACAACCCTGACAAAGCCATGAGAAATCATAAGTATGCTTTCGCAGCCTCAAGCTGCCGCCGACACGGCGGCGCCGAGCACCAACGTCCTGCTTATTCTTGACCACTGAACTCAATACCCGAAAGGCCGGGGGTGGCCCTGACCGTTCTGCCCGGACACTTTAGCTAGCCGGGGGCTCCCAGTTGCCGGGTGGGGAAGCTGATCTCCTCATGAACGGTAAAAGGCTAACCTTCTTGTAGAACGGCACCTTAAGCGTATTGGTTTCGCCTGGTTTCACGATGACTGTTAGGTCGTAGCCTCGACGAGCCTCTGGATGCGCTTGGCCAGACCAAGAGACTTGAGACTGCTCCCTTTTGGAATGTCGAATGAGTGAGACTGGGCATTTAATTGCGATGCTGTTGCAGGTATGGTGATTTGTGGAAAATAAAGCGACACGGGCCAAATCTTTTGCCGAGGCGGGCTGGTCTGGCGAAACCACAACTATCTCCACAACAACCTGTCTGCCTCTACTACCATGCTACTGTAGTGTGGACGGCACCAAAGGCAGACATCAAAATAAAATCACGGGCACAGCAAGAACCGCCAAACAGGCCACCCATCACATGTCCTGACATGACCAGCTGCAGCTGGAACACGGCTCATCCGCCATTGCCGGGCAAAGGCTAAAAGTACATTGCGTGTGCGCTGATTTGCTGGGCTGGGCATGCTTGGGACGAACACGGCTGTGCAAGGACTTGATCTACCTTTTGAAGATCTGAGCTTGGGTTTGTGTCACGAAAGCTCTGATCATACGGCGCGTTTGCTGAGCGAGTGTCCAGAAACCCTGACCTCCTCCACCTCCTTGCCCGACACTCCCCGCTCCACGCCACACTTTATGTCTTTGAACCCCAGAATCCGAGATTGTAAGCCCACCTCCACCTCCAATGCCGGCAGCCCGCGCCGAGCGAAGCTTCGGGGCCACATGGTGTGCAGTCTGAGGCTACAGGTGACAGTACGTTTGTGTGGTTTTCCAGGTTGTTATTTGGGTCTTAAGCCGCTGGGGTGCCCCGGATCCTCATGCAATAGAAAGGAGACGCGGTTCCATGTCACCGGCCGTCTGATGTTCGGTGCACCCACCGCAGAGCCCTTACTTCAACCCTTCTTGAGCCACCAAGGACCGGAGTTCAGTGCTAATCCGACCAAGCCCAACATGTATTAAGCCTCAGGGAGAGAAGGCTTGTTCGATACGTGCTCGGGGATTCATTTTGTGGTTCATGGGTCTTGCGCGGCTCTGACGAGCAACTGCACACGGGAAACCATGAAACCCGTGCATCCACACAAGATGTCCCACTCCTAAGACTTGGGGCTCAGGCAATTTTAAGATTTATGACCCAGGCAGATTTCCCAAGCCGCTCTTGCCTGGTACTGCTCACAGAAGCCGCCCAGTGGGAAGCCCTGTTGTCCTGAAAACTCGGGCATTAAGGTTACGCCTAGGGACAAGCCACAGGGGAAAGAAGGGCGGGGTGCTTCGAACTCTGGTCTAATGAGGGCCTGGCGCCTTCGTGACACAATCTACTTGAAGTGGCCGCTTAGCCAGAAGACAGCCCGCAAGACCATGCAAGTGTCGTTAACCAAAGGACGCATGACTAAAACCCTAGCTCAGCCGAAGCCCATTCAGCCCTCCCATCCCAAACAGCCTAACTAGACATCTGGCTTGCCCCAACAAACTGTTCACCTCCCAACTTTTCGAGCCTGGCATGCCGTAGGCATAGTAGTCAAGCTGAAGCGCATCCTGCCCGGGTGTGGGTTACTCATGCCCCCAAATCGCAAGCACTCAGCTGCCACCTGTTTCCAGAGCAGGGCCATCGCAGCCCAAACAATGACGAAGTACTGCAAGGTGTTCCCCCACCAGACCTTAGCCGTCACTTGAGGGTTCTGGAGGCCAGCACATGTCAGGGTCTGCGGCCATGGTGATGTGGAGCTGCAGCGGAAGCCCAAACTTCTCCAAACTTCCTCAAACCCAACAAGACCCCTGATTCCCACAAGTCAAGGAGACACACGTGCCTGTAAGCATTTAAGCAATTGCCACCCTGCAATCAGTAAGACCCAGGCACCAGCGCCCCAAGGACCAGTGGCCACGCGCCCTGAGTGGAACAATCAACCCTGGAATGCCCATAGTTCCTCCACCTGACTCTACCTTGTGACCTTCGGTTTGCGCAGCATTCGGCGGCGTACTAGGGCCCCGCACGCACGACATCCGTCAGCGCAGGTCGAACCTGGTTGCTCTCTTGCACGGTTCAGGGTCCACTGGGATCTCCGGGCTTTATATTTCTTCTTCTTCCGCGTGCTTCAGCGTCACCATGTGTGCTTGGAGCATGTTTGAAAGGCAAGCATGAACAGCTACTCTGTCTGAATTCAAAGGGTCCTCTGGAACTAAGCCCAAGGCGGCGCTGGGATAGAAGATGGGGTTGATCGCACCAATCCACGTCCACACCTTGCCAAGACCAACCCCTCTTCACTCCGTAGAAGCCCTGCACATGACCCACACATTCACAAAAGCAGTCGAAAATGAGAACCCTGCTACCCAAGATGACCAGAAAATCCTGGACTGTTTACCACTGTTTACCTGCAGACTGAAGGACCTCGACTTAGGATACCCGTTCTGGGATTAAGAAGCGTAGGGTTCAAGGGCACTTCGCACATGTCCGCAAGCTTCAGGCTTGGGCCTCCGGAAGTCTGGGTCTGCACGGGCTTGAGATGCTTAAAACAATGGGACTCTGCAGGGCGTCTTTTTGGGACAGCCTGCCCTTTGAAATGCTCTGCAAGCCCTGAAAAGCCCCCCGGCATCGTTCCAGTAGGTCCAGCCACCGGCGGGTGACCTGCGGTGAAGGCGGCTTCTTCCAATCCGCTCTTCTCAGCGGCCCTTGGCTCTAGTTCAGCTATGGCTTGCAGACGTTATGGATGGAGCCCTAAATGCCCCAAAAAGAGCCGAAGTTCTTTCGAGGAACCTGGGGGGGCATAAGGTCCGACCTGCCACAGCCACTGCGACCATCCTTCCAGCTGACCAGGCAGGTGTCACCTGACAATTCAACACTCTGAGACCTCAAACTCATGCTTGGGCATGCCAACGAGGGACCCTAAACCCCAAACCCCAAACCTTAAACCCTAGATCCTCATCCGTGATGCTTCGGATGTAGGCGCTTGGGCAGGCTGTCGCTTGGGAAGCCGCTACAGTGTGGTACAGCACACACCGAAAAAACGCCATGCAACAGCATCTTTCGGTGTCATGGCAAGGGGGCAAGGAGCACTTTGTAGCATGGGCTCGATCCCTCCTGACTTAGTAGGAATCGCGGGACAGCGCAGCAACCCTAAACACACCCGCCGCCTGCAGTTCGAAACTTGAGCGTCGTGTTCGGAAGATTCCTGCGGCTTGAATATGGACCAGGTGCGTATTGTAGTCAGCTTCAGAAGTCTAAACGTTGCAGGGCGCTTTGCAGGAGCCCAGGGTTCAGGGCACCCCCCCCCCCCCCCCCCCCCTGAACAAAAACTCGGAATCTCCAAGGGGCGGGCCCGTCCATGCAAGTTCCGCAGCTCGAAGTGATGACCTGGATCTCAGCTTCTGCCCCTTCGCGGAAGACTTCGGACATGAAGACAGAGGCTCGGACGCCCAGGGCATGGCCGAATATCTGGAAGGGCTGGGAATGGCCCTCAGGCCTGAGTGCCAAAAACTTAACAAACCAGAGAAATCTAGGTCATAGAGCCCCCCCTTGCAGCAAAATATGCCGGAAAGTTGCAAGGCAGCCAAGGCCAGGAGCACACGCTCAGCAACCATTTGGCGCGCCCAAAACCTCCCTACGCCACAACCCTCAACGCAATCAGCCCAGTATGCACAAACCCTAAAACCATCTAAAGAACCGTTGGCTCGTTCACTGTGGTGCGGGCCACGCTAGGTTTGTAACCTCAGCAGATGGGGGTGCCCGGGTGCCTTCACCATAGAAGTTCTGGCGATTGGGGTTTTGCAAGGACAGCAAGTTCCACAGCAACCTTAAGATCCCCAACGTGAAAAGCTAAACGTCTCAACCTCAGCGCCACTTGCTGCGTTCGAGGCCGCCCCGAGGTGCTACTTCATAGGGTTTAGGGCGTAGGGTGGTCGTGGTCAGAGGTTACGGCTCGGTGAGGAATTAGGTTGGGCCTCAGAGGCATTCGGAGCGGTATACCGATCCTTCTACAGCGCTGCCCAGGACATCTCACAAACAAGAACCAGAACCTAACCCAAACTAAGCTTCGGGGCGTCGGAGGGGCTTTTTTGGTGCCAAGCGACGCGGCAGGCGGTACAGCCCGCTAACTCGCAACATGCCAAGACTCCCAGCGATGGCGATCTGTTGAACGTCTGTTGTGGCCCTTCTCTGATCTTGGGCCTTCGAATGCTACAGGTGCTAAAGAACCCCGAGTCCTCAGCTGCCAAAGAGATACGCTTTAGGAGGCTGGCTATGTCTGGCTTCCTACCTAAGCATCCTCCGGTGCATGACGCTTCAGCCGAGACGTCGTGTTCGAAACAATGAGCTACCGTAGTCTCTGAGAAACTCCTTAAACCTCAGAGCAGCCCTGAAGCCCTGATCTCTGTCGGTGGAAGCGTTAGGGACGGAGGTGGCTCAAATCGATGGTGGGTGAGACGGCAAAAACTGTGCGGATGCTCGCCCTCACCTGGGTACACTGGCTTCGGTATGCTTAATAACTGGGACGTCCCCCCTTAAACTAACATCCCTATTAAGGAGCTAAGTATAAGGGGGCACATCCCAGCTTGAACAACACACTTAGTTGCATCCTCTGGGGCTGCTTTGTTAGCTCAGGGCTCGGAGTTTGAAAGCTTCAGGGCCTTTTGGGTTTCAGCAACACAGGGTCCAGGATCTACGGTACTAACAACCTGTGGTTCCGGGTGTTAGAGAGAGCCAAACGCGTGGGATTTCGGGTTTCGGCCCAGGGCACAAGACGTCGGCATGTTGCAGTTGGGGCGTTCAGGTCTGCCAAGGGCCGGGCCTGTATGGACTTTGGCCTTCATGGGATATGGGAGGACATCTAAGCCCAAAGCCATGAGCTAACCCGAAGAAGGCCCGGAAACCTCGAACCGCTCCCTCGCAAACATGGCCAAGTACCCGAGACCGCAAGCGCAGGGGAACCTAGCCCCGAACCCTAAAGATGCAAGCGATGAGCCAGAGCATTTGAATCTGAAGACGCCGGCTACCAGCCGTAAGCTCTTTGTGAAGATGTGAACCGTCAGCTCTTTGTAAGGATGTGAACCTTTGTAAATTCTGCCGGCCCCACATACTCTTTGTGCGGACGTTGAATCCAGTTGTCAAGCCCAAGTGCTTGCAGCATGAACAAGTGTGGCTCTGCACACCGCAGATCAGCACCCTACCCTCTCACCGCATTCCCAAAACTTGCAAGCCGAGTGTTCTAGCGTAGCATGCACATGAAGGTTTTAACCGGCCGCAAGGGCACCCTGAACCGTACTTACTTTGGGCTTATGCCCGGGGACTCATCAACAGCCCATGTAAGCTCTTGGCCTAGTTCCGGACGAACTTCACCTTGGAGTGCACCGAGGGGAGCTCTTGCCACGATTCGGGTTTGGCAGCATGGGGCAGTGAATCTGCAGGCTGACATTGTTAGGTTCGCGCCATTTGCGTGCTGAAGATGTGTCGCCATATGCACGGGTCTCTCTTGAAGGTGGCAGAAGATCAGGCAAGGGGTTTCGGGCCCGTCCTACACGGAAATTTTCGATGTTTCAGCTCGGATCCCCCATCCCTTCGTCCCTTCGCTGCAGCCGTGAAGCATGCGCCGCGACGGGCGATCGATTGAAAGATATCCTGACACAGAAGCAGCTGGCAGGCATCACAATGTATCGGACCAAGCTGGACAAGCGCTCATCATTCGGGAGGCTGCGCTCTGAGCCTATTTGCAAACTCTAGACTCTAGATCCCGCGAATTTCCAACCCAGTCGAGCACTTGAATCTCATGATCGTCATCCTCCTCATCAGCAGCCAGGAGGTCCATTAAAGCCGGGTTTTTTTGGGTTCGGGGGCATTGACAGGCCTCTTCTTCTTGTTCACGCGCTGGCCCGTGGCCATGAAGTGCCAGCAAGCACTGAAGTCTTCCCTTGGGGCAGGTGGCTTCCAAGCTTAATTTCTTGAAGGTGGTAAAGGGGCTTTAGCTGCAAGGCTGGGCGTGGGGGTTTCAGCTGAAGTCGGTCTCTAGCCGGCAACTTCAAAGGCTTACAGCAAGATAACCAGCGCATTCCAGGAGGGTCGTGCCGGAGGACGGGGGACACCAGCGATTGAAACATGATGCTTGCATATTTGTGCACTGCAGTTCAGCACAACTCGAAGTATCTATCTTTCCTCCAGACGCTCAGCTAATCCAGCAAAGCCGCATGAACTTCGACCACCAGCCTCAGCCGGAGTGAAAGGCAACACCATGATCTTCAGCAAATGACTTGACAATATTGAGTTGCCTGACAGCTTTCAAATCAACCACTGGCTCCTTAAACCCCTTATCGCCCTAATCTGAAAACAACCCAATGAGAGGAGCTCAAGCTCTTGCGCTTGCACGCAGGGCCAAAGGCAACTACCTTCAAGCAAGAGCACAAACGACATCCCCCCAAAACCCTGAGCCCTAAACCCTCAACCCTAAACCTAAACCCTAAACCCTAAACCCTAAACCCTAAACCCTAAACCCTAAAAGCATCCCTCAAGGCACTTTGCATGCCGGAGAGCTGGGCTTCGGCGGGCCTTTGTTCGCCATGAAAGCGACACGCTTGGGATGTACGCGCAGGTGCCCATTAAGGTCCATAGCCAGGAGGAGCATGGCTGCATCCTCGGCAGAAGTGTGAGGGTTGAGCCCGAAAGCACGATTCTCGCAGGAGCTTGCAATGCCTGATGGGCTAAGTCGAGGCAGATCCCCTCTCCCAACCACAACAGTTCCCTTGAAAGGGGTGGGGAGAGGGGTTTGCGACCCTGCACCACAAACAGATGACATGTATGTCGATTCCTTGCGTGGCCCGGAACACGAACCGGTCCATGCAAGTTCTGGTCAGCACGGTGTGGTCCCCCTGAGCGCCTTCCTCTGAAACCTCGAAAGCCATGTAAACAGATCTCTCGATCCTGCTACGGTGTGTAGCAGGCTTGTCACTGAAGATAGCAGGCCCAGGCGCGTTTTCCGAGGCCTCTCCGTCCTCCCAAAGGTAGTTTCCTTGTAGGGTTTTAAGGCTTATAAGGGTTATTAGGGTTTAAGGGTTATAAGGGTTAAGGGTTAAGGATTTAGGGACATTCATGGTGACCACAAAGGATGCCATCCCGATCGGCTCAAAGGGCCATCCAGGACCCTGCTTTCTCAGCGGATTCCGGTGCTTGAACATCGGGTTTCAGGGCTGAAGCGACATTGACCTGGCACTCGGAAACATCCAGAGCCTGATATTATGGAAACGCCTACAGAACACAACGAGATCGGGTTGAACAGTTGAAGGTTTGGGGTCTTAGGGACGGTGTTCGTTGTGAATGCCGGAAGACAGAGCCCTCTTAGACTGACAGCCCAGGTTCGCGCAGAGAAGAGTGTAATCAGATGACCACCATGCATCACCTGCTCACATCGAGGTCTCCACAAAATGAGGGGTCCCCCTTTTGGGGTCCCTTTAAGGGGCCTTTATTCTATTTGGGGGCATAAGAGGGGTACCCCTATGTTGGGAAGCTAAACCCCATCAGGATGGTGGGGGAGGGTGGCTGACTGACAGGAGTACAAGTAGCGGTCGAACTGTTTCCTAGCAGGCCGGAACAGCTCTTGATGGAAGCGGTGCATTATTACAGCTGCCAACAATGAGCCAGCACAAATCTACACATGGAGAGCTGCATCTACCCTTTTGCTTGGTGGAGCATTCTGTAACTTGTCGCCGTGGAAACTTAGGGCTCAAGCCGTCTTAAGGTTTGGCACTGGCCAGCTCTGAGTCAAACACTTGCAACACGCATCGCCTGGAGTCTTCCGCCCTAAACCCTAAACCCTAAACCCTAACCCTAAACCCTAAGCCCTAAACCGTAAACCCTTGAGAAGTGAGGAGGACTGGAGCAGTGGAGCGCGCCGGATATCCCACAGCCCTGAACAGAGTCTTACGAGCACCACATGGGAGTTTACGAAAATAGGGACCCCAATATAAACCCCCAAATCGTAGAATCCCCTTATAGTAAGGACCCCAATAAGGTACCCCTAATATCGTATACCCTCATATGACTTGAGACATGTCAGCTTGCGTCCCGAAACGGATGGGTCGTGCCTTGTAGCCTTGCCTCACGAACTGATGTGAGCGAATGACGAGGTTGATGCCCTCCCGCCGGCAGAAAGCCCTCGGCCATCAGACGTGAATGTGTTATGGGTGTGTGCTTGCCTAAACTGGCCTAAACCCTAAACCCTAAACCCTAAACCCTAAGCCCTAAGCCCTAAGCCCTAAACCCCTCGATTAGGCCAACCCTCTGTGCGCTAATCTCGACCCCAGGCACTATGCCAAGAGCGACCTGAAAGAAGATGACCGTGGGGCAAACCGTATACTATATCATTACAATGGAAGCTAAAGACAACGAGCTGAATCTACGTATCTCAAACAGTTCGGAAGCCTTGCGGGGCGTTCCGAATCATGCGCCCGTACAACTTGCCGTCAAACCCTAAACCCTAAACCCTAAACCCTAAACCCTAAACCCTAAACCCTAAACCCTAAACCCTAAACCCTCACCGCCCTGAGGCCCGACGCCCGACGCGTTGAATGTGAGGGCGGCGCTGGGTCACATCGGGCCCGAACTGGTGGATGCCTGCACCTTCGCCTCGTTCCTGGAGCGGGAGCAGGCTCAGGGATGGCTAGAATTTAATAATTCAATACGATAGACGACAGATTTACGGAAAAAAAAAAAAACAACAACAAAAA